TAAATAATTATTGTTTATGCAGATGGGCAATGGCAGAGGGGTATGGTGCACACCTGATCAAGAAACCTGAGTTAGTGAAAGATATGGTTCGACAGACACAAAGTCGTATTTGCCAACCGGATTTTTCAATTTCAATAAAAATCAGGTTACATAAAGATATAAGGTAAGTCTATAAAGATATTAAAAGTATATGAATAATTTTCGTGTCCTATATAAACAACAAAATTAATCTTATTTAAACATTATGTAAGAAATTATTTTTTTCATTTTTTTCATGATTTTCTTATAATTGTTTTAACTTGGCCCAATAGATAATAAAATATCATCGTTATATTTGGCTAAGTTTGTCATTTCATCTGTTACTGTCAACTGTATATTTGGTTATATTTTTTTATTTATTAGTATATAGAACCACTATTGTTCTTAAATTCTCTTTTTTTCATTATCGTTGTCAACATCAATCTTTCTATACCATCAGCATTTTCTACTTAAATTTCTTCTAAAGGGAGACGGTTGACCTTTGTCAGAAGGCAGAGCATGCTGGAATATCATGGGTCACTGTTCATGGTCGCACAGTTCAACAGAGGACAGAGCCAGTAGACTATGCTGCAATTAAGACGATAAATGATAGTGTTTTGATACCAGTTGTTGCCAATGGTGATATAAAATATCTTGAAGATGTGGATAAACTCCATAAGAATACAGGAGTGAAAGGTCAGTAAAAACCAATCATTGAAAAAATCATCAAATGTTGAAAATATAAGTACTGTAGCTTTTAATTTAGGTGGAATTTGTATGACTTAAAAAGTTTGTAAAAATAAAAGCATATTAAAGCAAGTTAATATCTAAAAACAAAAAAACAAAAAAAACCAAACCTAAATAATATTCAGTATCTGCTTTTAACACATGAATATTATGGTTATGGTGGTAGTGATGGTGTTAATGGATATGATGGTGATGATGGAGGTGGTGGTGATGTTGAATGGTAATAATGATGACGATCCTGCCTGGTAGTGGTGATGTTAGTGATAGCGATGATGTCATTGATGGTGATGTTAATGATGGTGATGACGATGTTAATTGACAATCATGATAATAATGATGGTGATTATTATGATTAAAGTAAATCAATCAACTACAGTACACTCTATTGAGACTGTTTTTTTTTTTTAATTATAGGTGTCATGGCAGCAAGAGGAATGCTACAAAATCCTGCAATGTATGCTGGATATGAAAACACACCCTTACAGTGTGTTCAAGACTGGGTAAGTTGACCAAAACACAATGCCACGCACACAAAAGCAAACAACACCAAAGAAAGGCTTATTCCCTGTGGGTCCTACTAGGGAGCAAGGAAAGGGTTGGGGTAAACCATAGAGGTATTATAAAAACTAGAGTGCTACACCACAACATTCGAGCTTATCATATGGGTAAATTAGGTAGCTGTATTAAAAAGTTTCATATTAAATTGAGGGCGCCATTGAAAACAATGCTTAGTTGTATTTTGATAGGCTGAATGTATGGCAGTACGAGTACCAATACACATCTCTGCATTTTTGGAACATTGAATGCATTGGAGTTAACCGCTCTAGTATTCTTATAATAACCCTATGGGTGAACCAGAACACCAGAGTGACCCCTGCTTTTTTTTAAAATAATGCTTTATTTCTTATAAGTGTTTCCTAAATGTGCATATAAAACCAGTAGTGTAGTCTACGTCCTTATCCGGAAAGACTTCAGTCCAGCAACTCGAACCCAGAAGAGGAAAGGATGCATGCTGATGGTAAGTCTGTAGATAGTGGTGCCACTGCAGTAGCACTCAACCACAGCCCTCTGCACCCGAAAGAGTTTATCTTCCAAAACGCTTTTTTGTTTTTCCGTCCCTATTTTTTTCATTGAGTTAGGGCCAGGTGGAGGAGGGCAAACAAACATTTTTTTTTTGGCCCAATGTTTAGTAATCTGAACTGCTGTTTAAATGTGGTATAGTTTAATGTAATTACATGCTTGCAGGATGAATATGATACATGTAGTTAGGTATATTTGTTGTATTTCTTCAGGTTGATATAGCTGTTGGACTTGGTACCCCCTTCCCTTGTTTCCATTATCATCTTATTGCAATGATGGAGCGGGTCACATCAAAGCCAGAAAAGAAAATTTTCAACACACTCCATTCGACCCCAGCTGTCTTAGACTATCTTAAAGAACATTATGATGTCCAGTACAATGGTCAACAACAGGCCAAGTTGACAGATCGTTTAGATGCTCTTCATCTCAAACCTTCTCCACTTGGAAGTAATATTGACAGTTGATGATGGATGAAATTTGTAGAGAATTATTTTGCCAGTTCTTATTAATAAGTGCAATCCAAGTAAAATTTCTACAATCTACTTTGATTAAATTTTCAGCCAGGCTGTGGCTTTTGTTCATTACAACAAAAGTGGCATAGGGCGGGCCAACATCGTATGTGCTGAAGACAAGCCAAGCTAAACCAGTCAATCCTCGCAAATAGTTTTTCAGAGATAATGGCCACAACATGTTGGAATGTTACTTTCAAAATCTATTTTACTGCACTAAACTTTATACATCTATACACATGCTATGTTGCTATTTTTCATATTTTCAACGTTAAAATATTTGTTAATGATTTGGTGCTGGGTCTCTGCTTGAGGAATGTCCATAATCATAAACTTTGAAGACTGATTTCTCAATTACTGTCCTTTAACAGCTGGATTTTTAAGCTTCTGTAACCTCATAACGAAATGTCAGATTTATGTGATACTTTCACCATTTTATGACTTACATTTTACTGTTCATAACCCTGCATTAGTGACTAATAATTTATATTTTGCTAGGAGCTACAGGTTTGGCTTATCTTGTCTTGCAATTGTGGGATGTCTGAAAATTCATAGTCCAGTATGTACATTCTTAACTTTGAAGCAAAATCACACCAAGCGACATTTTGATACACTGTACAATCAGCAGAGACTTTATTACAATAGATGAATATTTTCATATGCCGACTTTTCTAATAAAAAACAAAGAATACAAATAGTTCTCTGTGTTTTGTTGTTCTCTAAAACTATTCTATTTTAAATGTACCAAGAAAAAAGCTTAATTACATAAAAAAGCCGAGAAATAATAATTGTCAACAGATGGCACTATTTGGCTCATAACCAAAATGTGCACAAGAATCTATTGGCATCATACTGTGGAATATATAATGCTTATGAATCTCAATAATTCTGAGAAATATAGTATACATGTTTAGGCCTAAAAATAGAGCTTGTGTTGCCCAACCAACCCACAATCTTAGGCCAGTATTTTTCCCAATTAGGGGCCCAAGACAAATGTATAGAGTTTGTAAAGGGCACTTTTTAACTCCTAAATTGGTGCCATAACCATGGATTTGAACCCAATGGATACCACTTTACAAGCCTCACATGTGTGGGTGATGATCCATGCACACTTGGAGTAGGCCTATGCCTATGAAAAAAAAACTTCTTTTTATCTTACAAGAGGAGCTAGAACCTACTCCTTAACTCCTTTCACTTTTCTGGGCATTAAAATTAGAAGTGAGTGCAACAGCAGGTATAAAAAGGAATGGTAAGAAATCAAATTTATTTATTTATTTATTTTATTCATAAGTTTTTAAAGTACTGTTGCTTCATATGGCACCAGCCCTCAATGGCGGTGATACCAGAATCACTCCATCTCCTCGGACAAATAACATGGAAATGTTCCGCTTGGTTGACTGAAAGAAAAAGGCAAAAAATTTAGTATAATTGAATACTACAATATCATACTGCATATACAGTAATATTTCATTAACGTTTCATTACACGCTTTCCAGTGAACTGGTAGACTAAATGAATATGACCTCATTGCAAGACGACTGTAGTTCTATAATTAAGAAATAGGTAGGGGTAGCATTGTCTGCCCGGGGCCCCTTGAGCAGAGAAAGTACTTCAACAAGAAGTTGATTCCTACAACAGCAATGCCACTATCTAAGGGGGCATGGGGCTCACCACCTCCACCCCTTAAAAAGTTTAGGTCCCACAGCTAATTTGCTGAGCAAAAAAAAATTGTTAAAAATCATCTTTACAGTAGTAGCTTGTTTCCGCAACTAGTACCCCCCCTCACTTCACAGATTTTCCTCCAACATACTTCACAGCACTTAACCTTTGCCCCTCCCATCATCCCTTATGTACCTTGTATATTTCTTCATATGTCTCTTCATCAATTTCTACAGTTGTGACTGTCTCTTCAGCATCACCAAGTATCATATTCAGATGCTGATCGTAGGCCTACAAACAAAAGATAATTCCCATATTAAAGATACTTTGTAAATTTCAGTAACTTATTCATAACATAATATATGAATTAAAACACACTACAGAAGTGGGCAAAGTGCTTGGTATTTTTCAAGCAGGTAGAGTATGGATGAAACAATAGCTGGGGCTAAGTGACTATATACAACAGTGGCAGATAGATGAGAAATTGTGTGCACACACATTTTAATATATTTAAATACTTGTTCTCATATTATGAGAACAAGTATTTAAATATATTATAATGTACAGAATGAATTTTCAGTGTGCCTTTCAATTGTAGTATAGATATGTACATACATTCTGTAAATATAAAATACAATATTCTTTTTATTTAATATAACACATGGTAAATACAGCTATCTGTACAAGTAACTGTATAATACAACAAAGATGTAGAAGCCAGAGGGAGATATGATTTTATGATTTGTTTTTTTAATGAGGTAACTTATAAATATTGGAAAGTCAACATACGTGTAATCGCCCTCTGAGTTCACGATCATTCCTCATCTTTACATAGATCCTTTCATCCAGACTGAGCCGGACCAAATCCAATGGTTCTTCGACAGCGTTTGTAGGAACTTGCTGCAAAGGGTAATAAATCAAAAGAATCTAATACATAATACAGTACTTTTAATTATTTTATTGGCTTATAAAAGGAAGTCATACAGTATTCTGGTACAATAACAAATTATTTAAAAATGGTGGCACCAGTGGGGGATAGTACTGTAGGGGAAAGAACCCCTGTTGCATAATCTTTGACTCCGTCACATCAGGAAGAAGCCGATCATATCATTGAGGAATACTGCTTTGGAAAAGCAACTAGAGTCACACACTGAGAGTGTCATTTCCAGGTATCTAGAGAGTAGAGATGTGCCCATTCTTGAAATTTGCTCACCGCAGCTCCAAACACCTGGGCCTCAGGTGGGTGTAGGCGGAAAACTTGGGCCCCTCATTGCCATTGGGGAATCTCTGGCACTGCCATTGTCATGTACTGTAATGGAACCTGATTAAATTACCAATATGACTTAGTCCTCATTAAAATAATTAACGCCGTGGCTAGATACAGCACCATATCTTAATTTCCGTTTGCTACAGGCACAGTAAATTGTATTTATAAATCTACTTGGAGTTATACAGTATTCTTTTTACATCAAACTATTATCAGGGAAAAAGCATTGTTATTTACAATTGTGTTTTTAATGTATTTTTGCATAACCACGACACAGAAGGATACATTAGTGCAACAATAGAGAGTGATCTCACAAGTCTTATGAACAATGACGTCACACCAGTGGTCGCATTTTATTTATTGGATGTTGCAATTTACTGTGCCTTTAGCAAACAGAAGATAAGGTATCGCATCTCTAACCATGGTGAAACATTAATTATTTTCTTCTTTTTTTATTTATTTTTTTAAATTAATAATAAATTATAAATTTATTTTTTTGTAAATTTTTTTTTTTAAATTTTAATTACCATATAGATCAGACCATGTGCATTCATAGCTTTTCTTGGAAAAAAAAACAAAAAAAGTTTTATATAGGCCTACTGTAAAAATGGTTGGCCCTAATAATATTTAATAAGGCCACCCAAGAAGTTATATGCCTCTACTCTACTACTACTAAAATGACTGTTGTGGGATACCCCTACACCCTCCACCACCCACAGTAGCAGCAGAAGCAGAATGGTACCCAGTGTAGGCCTATAGCCTGAATATAGGCCTATGTACAGTACTGCCAACCAGAAGAAGGCCTAGGCTAGGCCTAGCTAGCCTACTCTCTGGTGGTAGGGGCCTGGGCCTACAGCAGTAGGTAACTAGCAGCAGAAGCAGAATCGTACCGCTAGGCCTAGCCTGTCTGTAATTTATAATGGCTTTTATAATAAAATGAAAGCGAACACATTATTTTCATTTTTTGTTGCATTGTTCAGTAAATCTATTTGCATTTTTTTTTAAAGAAAACATTGAAATTACCGTTTCAACCTCATCACCCATGCTTCGTTTCTTCGTCGTAGATTTTGTTCACTGTGACCCTTGACTCTAGCTATGGGTCATAGTTCAGGTACATAAACAAGCGCTTGTTTGATGTGTGCAGGCTTTGAGGAATTTGTTTGCTGGCCTACAGTTGCCCTTTTTTATGGGATTTATTGCATAATCTTAATGACTATAGATATGAAGGGACAGGTGTTACATGGTATGTAGTTTTGTATAAGCTAGAAAAGAAAATGGGAAAGAAGACAAATAGACGAGGTTCGAAGAGTGATGAGATGCCGGGTGAGCACGAGGCCGAGGGAGATGTGGGGCTTGATGGGGAAGCTTGCAAGAGCAGCAGACAACAAGGCAAGCTAAGGAGAAGCAAGCGATGCAACTCGCCTTTAGACTTTCAGGGGGAAGGAGCCTCAAAGTTCAAGAAAACAGATGAAAAGAGTGAGCTTGATGAAAGCGAAAAAAGAAAGCAGAGTACAAGAGGAAGAAAGAGAATAACATCTACCAAACAAGACACATCATCAAAGAAGAAAAAACTTAGTATGACTAAATCAGAAAATTCAAGGGCAGAAAAGATGAATATTAAAAAGTGTAATGTGAAGCTAAGTGATGTTAAAAAATCTAGGCCTGAATTAATTAAAGAAAATGAATTAAATGAAAACCAAGATGCACTCTGTTCAAAAAAGAAAGAATCAAAGGAAGGAAAACAAAATAAGAATAAAGGAGTGAAAAACAAGCAACAAATAAAGAAAGAAGAAATGGGAAAAGACATTTTATCATTAGATAAAAACAGTAAAGAGACTGAAACCAAGAAAGAAACATTGGTGAAAGAAGAAACAAATGATGGAAGCGAGGAGAGTGACGAAGATGACTGGGAAGAAGTTGAGGGTAAGAAACTGAATTATACAGTAAATAATTTAATAACCTTTAATAATAATTATTCAGTTTTTTTGGTTTTTTTTTCAATTTCTTAATTGTTTTTTTAGGTTTTGTATTTCCTTGAGAATTTCATTTTTACGGATTTATTGTTTGCTAATTAACCAATTAACTTTTTTCATTATTTCAGAATTAGATAGTGTGCTAGAAAGCCCAGTGAAGTCAACAGTAACAAACAAGACAATTGAGATAACACTTGACAATCCAAACCAGGCCAAGAAAAGGAAGTACGTGAATTAATGGATGTGATGAGAATGAGGAGGATGACGAAGACGATATGATGTAGATGATGATGACAATAATGATATGATTAGGATGACAAAAATTGTGACAATGATGATGGTACAGTAGTGTGCTAATGATGATGTTAGAAAACTCATGGTCCAGTAGTTCCAAAAAATGGTTAATTGCCCAATCCCATAATCTTGAAAATGTCGGCTTCATGAAAATGTACTTTTTTACAAAGTAGGTGTCCATATGACTAACCATGATTTGCAAATGTCACTGTGTTTAAGCAACACAATTATTTTTTTTCACCTGATGATGAATGTATTTAATCATATGAATTAAGAGATTTCATATTGCACCCTCTTATGCATAAATAATAAGCCTTGAGGTGATGATAGTTCCAAGAAAATAGTTTTTGTATAGCTCAATGTTTTTTTATAACTGAAATTTTAACAGATCTCACAATTTATATACCTGTAATAAAATTTATCTTGTAGAAAAGAGGATGAATGGGAAGCTTATTTTCGTCGGGAAATCAATCGACACAACAGGGAACAGCAGATTACATTCCACAAGGTCGAATGCTTATTCCATGCCACACTATGAACATACAGTAGTCAAAAGTTGATAAAAGTGTTCCAAATCTGAAAAAGTAGAGGGGTACACTAACAACATATAATTTCAGCTTTACAGTGTTTTTGCATTTTATTATTTAGGCCTATTTTCTGTGCTGCCTAACATTGTACAGTATTACTCTACAAAGCAGCAATGTATAGTTTTGCTAGTGCTACCTATATTTTCTACGCTTATGAAAATGTAAGGGGGCACTGCAGCGATATGTATAATCTTTTTATTGATACATGTAATTTTCTTGACCAGGCTTCTCTGAAATAACACATGAGCATATATAAAAATATTTGTCGCCTGTTTTTTTTTTGTAGGCCCACCTCCTCTGTCTTCTAGCCCTTGGACAGTATTGCAATAGTGTATGCAGCAACATGACACTGCAGGCTCTATGTATGTCAGTCATTCCAAATAAATTTTCTGAATCTGGAGAGTTTGATATTGCATTCCTTATTAGATTTGTCCGTTGGTAAGTGATAATTATTTCATCAATTTTTTTTAATCGTAAAATGCACTACTGTACCATTATCATAGTTACCGATATTTTAGTGAAAACTGTATCCTAATATTTCATGCACTTGAATTGGTAGTCTCAGGAGTCTCAAGTCTCTTGAAATTTGAGGAAGTTTCCCGGAAATTAAGAAAGCCCCCACACTCCCGCAAATAAGATTTTCCTGGGAAATAACCCATCACTAGTCAATTCACACTATTTGTGGTCAGGTTCACACGAGAGCCCTAGTATTTGGATAGTTAGCTAACCGATAGCACCCGTGTGAGAACACCTGATCGATTAGCGCTAACCGTTACCAGGATCTGGATACGCTAACAGTTAGCGAGCGCTATGGGTTAACAAGTTGAGCTAGTTTCTATCATTAACCAATCACATGTACATATTCCCAGTTTCCTATTGGCCAGTGATCCAATCATAATCTTCTTGGTATCTGGATCAGGGATTTTCTTGTGTGAACGCACAGGTGAGCGCGTATATTTGTAATCCGGATCCTGCTGACCGGTAGCAGCCGTGTGTGAACGTAGCCTCAATGTTTTTACTACATTATCAATTGTCTCCAGGTTAAGTCAGTTCTGATGGGTATCACCATTCACAGAAAAATAAAATTGTGTTAAGAAGGCTCAATTTATTAAACATGGGGACTTTGTTGCTTTTTGAGACTTCAAAAGGCAATATGAATATGAATGAAATGAATTGACTTCTTCCAACTTGGGACCCCTGAAGTCTACCACTAGGCTCATGTTGCATTGTAAGGGCGCGGTCGTCGGCCGACACAATTCTATGACAAACGCAACACGATGATGCGCGAGAAATGGATCGTTTCAAACGACGATCCGTACAGACTACCACTGACAATCAGCAGACAGTGTCGTGTCGTCTAGCGCTCACAAGGACCGAGATTGGATTCGTTGTGCGACCTTTGTACTGGAGGATGCAGCAAGTGCTCGGCTTAAAATTTACTCCCACCTACTCTTTTTTTGTTGGCTTGAATTGGATTGGATTGGATTATAATGTAAAATATTTTTCTACTAAGTTCCATTTTGTATTATAATTCTCTTTTGTAATTTATTTTTGTCTGTAGTATAAATGAATTGTACAGAAAAAAGTTTAATACTTGCTTAGATTTATATATGACATGTCTTTCATTAATTTGTAGGTTCCAGTCTCTCTTTAAAATAATGTCTACAACCAAGGAGGACAACTACAAGAACTTTGATGAAGTACTATGTAGTCGTTTTGAGAAGTTTGAAGCAGCAAATGAAACAGAATTTGTCCACGTATGCAAAAGCGTTTTTTTTTTCTTTTTTAATATATTTATTTGGGACCTATAGACGAATCCAAGATAACTTTTTTGAACGTCGTCCTCTTTTTTCGACGCCATTACAGGGATGGCATTTCCGAAGTTGGAAGATGTTTAAATACACAAAATATACCTAACTTTGATAAATTTTTAGTATGAATACTGACGGCATTACTCAGCTGCAAAATAAAAAGCCGGATTTCTCAATAG